AACTAAAAAAAAAAACATACAACTCACACCTATTCAATACAATAAAGTCTTCTTCACTACCAACCACAAAATTCTAACCTCCTCAACAAAAGGGACAACCGAAGATAACCCAAGAAAAGAATCAAGTCCGACCCAGATCTAGCAACTCTAAACTTCTGAACTCAACAGCCTATGGCTAATTGACCCAAAGCAAGAAAGCCTGGTCCTCCTTTCAAACGGGTCACCATCGAGCAACAACTCTAGGACCCGACAAACGACATCTCCCCCACCACAATCCCGATATAAACAAAATAAACCAAAAGACAACATATTAGAGGTGGAAACGCCCAACACAACCTCATAATGAAATCGGACGGCCCCAAGGAGATGCCCTATCCGACGCTAGCTCCAGCCATCACGAGAGCAGCGACTTTCGCAGGGAGCCTCGACCGCGCACTTGAACCGGCAACACGAACTACCCGACTTACTCGCCTGGAGGTGGAGCACCGAAGCATGAAGAAGGACTGACGTCATGCCGCGCTGACGATCTCCATTCTAAAACCGGTCATCCCGCGAAGGAGGCAGATTCGCGACCAACCGGGAGTTGTGGAATTTTTGATTCATGAAAGAGAGAGAAAAAGTCTGTTTGATTGAGTGAATAGGCAAATTTAAGAGTTGGGTTGTTATATTTTTTTCAGCAAATACGCATACTTTAAAAATAGAATTAATTACATACTATAAAAAGTAATATAAATTTTAAACAAAGTGTAATATTCCATATGTATTTCTACTAAAAAAATTACAACTAATCGTTCGGCTAACTTATATAAAAAAATTGTGATCACATAAATTGGGACCATTTTTCATCCAATATTCAAGTATTCATGATAAACTTCATGTCTAACAATGGAATCATAATGTATATAATAGCACTTATATTATTCGGCTGCATATTGAAAACATCAAATTGGATAAAGTACATGTTTGTGACTTGTGTCTGTGTGGGCTCCGATTAATAGTAAATGATTATGATCATAATCATGAATTAAAAAAACGAAAACATGGTGAACTGTTCGGTCTCCTCAAGAGACGGGCTCTCTCAAAAGTAGACAGATTCTAGTAATTCATAGGAAGATTTATAATGGCGAAGGTGATTCATTAACGCTAGAGTCATGGTCAACTGTTTTCCCACATTAAATTACTATCTGGTGTCATTTCGTGTCTCATGCTCTTTTCCTAATTTTTGGTTTTGAAAAGGTCTAAAGTTTTTTTGGGGACCGAAAAAGTTGTTTTCGATCCAGTTTAAACTGGGTCAATTTGCTGTATTTTTTATATATAAATATATGATAAATTT